GGGGCGTCGTATTACCTCTAGTGACAGCTGAGGCAAATGTGGCATTCCAGGCCTTCACTTTTCTGATGTGTGTACATGTTTACAAGCAAACATTCTTCCAACTTTCAAACTGACCAGATGGAGTCAGCGTCCCATTGTGAAATTGTTTTAATTGACTTAGTATAGCCCTACTTTAAAAGTATGAATCATTTTCTACAGTTTAGGAAAAATAACTTTTTTGAAATGTACAAATGTTTTTTAGTTTGTACGAAACATAAATTCTCCCCGTTAGATTCAAGGCCCATCCCTGCCACACAAGAATCATTTGAATGATGTGTGGCACAACATCTACACAAATAACAGCTCATGTGCTAGTCAACAAGCCAATCAAGAGGGAAAACTATTAAATCATCCCATCTGCCACTCTCAGTCTCATGTATTCGTCTGAAGAGGATGTCCCTCCCTGCTCCAATGATGTGTGTGTGAGAGAGAGAGAGAGAGAGAGAGAGAGAGAGAGAGAGAGAGAGAGAGAGTCCGACTGTTCCTGGGCTGTGCCAGACGTATTAGAAGTGAATCATGGAGTTTGTACATCCAAGAATAATAATGATCCAGTGACGATGAACATTTAAGCCTTTTGCGACTTCACGCGCCTCAATGAGGAGCTTCTTATTTTACACACACTCTATTCTGATTCGACACTCACTGATTCTTGTTGGTAAATTAGGCTTTCTACCACACAAATTAAATAAACAGCTCTCACAATACAGAAGTGAACTATTTGGAATCAACTGTTGAAGGATGAATGAATAGCACTCGCATTAAACACAAATCATTTGTCTTAAGATTGCTGTATCACTGCACAGTAGAAAGCACTGGCTGAAATTAGAGGGGCTTTAAGGCTTTAAGGCTTCAGGTTTCAGGTTTCAATGGCAGCTTCGCTGTAAAGTATCTGATCGTACCCGGTCTTGTTCTTGTCTATCAGGCTGGGAGCCAGCGCTCTGATGTAGGCACAGGTACAGATCAGGAGGAGAATCACTGTTAACAGTGACTGGAAGTTGAAAATGGCCGACTGCAACAGGAAAGAGAATGATATATTTAGTATAGAGTAGACACGATCCAGTGCAGCTTAGCAGCAACAGTCTAAGTCATACACATCAGAGACACCAACTTCACTTTCGTTAATTTCCTGTAACAATGACGTTACGCTACTTGTCACAAGGAATGTTGTCGTACCAGCTGTTCATTCTCTGTGGACCCAGTTAGAGTCACATGATTGTCAAAGACTCAAGGCCAGATTGGAGGACAGATAGCATGTTCTTCCAATTGTCCTATATACTAGTGTTCAAGATCAACCACCTACGTAACAGATATGCGTCTTATTTATAAGCTACAGCAAACTGTAACACCCTACCTCCTCACACTGGCATCACATCAGACTCTACTGCAGATCAGCAACTTTGTTTTAGTGTATTTACATTGTCCAGCTTTTCTCCACCTGTGTGTGTGTGTGTGTTGATGCTACCGACATGCTCTGCAATTCTAAATGAGGATGACAATGAAATCACCCAAAGAAAAATGAGTACTATAATATTACGATGATATATTACGACGAGATATTACGATTCTTATTGTTGGCGAAATGCATACATTATAACCATAGTGAATTCAATGCATGTATTTCTAAATAAGCACGTTGTGATGTAGGTTACATATGATTTCTACCTGCAGCGACCTGTGTTTGTTTCTGCTAAAGTTAACGCTACATGTTTTAGTCAAGAAGTAAGTTTAAAGATTTAATTTCAATAGATTATTTGGGGACCAATCAAGTTGCACACTTTGCTTATACTATCCCCGTTCTTGCAAGTTTATAAACAACAACCTCGTAACGCCAGTGAATCAACCATATGTAACCGAGTCAGACATGCACATGCATGTTTTCTGAACTGTGGTGCAGCTACGTGGCACACTCATAACATTGCGATGCTCACATCCAACATTCTCATTCATTTGTGATAATTTAGGACTTTCTTGTCAAACAACTCGCGCTAGCACACGGCTACAACACACGTGATGTTTGCAAATATATTCGAATGATAGTTAAGAACAGACACATACACGTGATAAATTGATTTTCTAAACCTTTAGCATATTTTAGCTAGCCAATGCTAGCGGGCTAGTTTAGCATATGATATACGTCCTGCTTTACACCGAATGATAGCATTCGTTTTTGTCAAAGTGGTTTTCCGACACAGATTACACGTAGGACGTGTGTTACACATCATGCTTAACATACGCTGTAAAAGAGCAGAAGCACTTAATTCATAAAAACAAGCTCACCATTTTTGTTGTGAGTCAAAGCCACATCACACTTCCTGCTTTCTTGAACGTACGTAACGTAACGTAACCAAAGAGGTTTACGTAACGTAAGCACGTACTTTGCTCTGCAAATCTCGCTTGCTGATTGGCTGATAACACGGCAGCGGAAGGTTGAAATGTATGTCAAAAACTGTCAACTGGGAGAACGGCAGTGATTTGAGTTGTATACAATCATGCCTTCGTGTGGACGTCGCAGTAGTTAGTCCATACAGTACCGTAAGTCTTCTAAAACAACATTATAGTTAATGTATTCCGTGTGTTAGAGAAAACCAACATAGCACGTCATTAAGGGCGTATTATCTGTAAAGTTACCGTTAAACTAGGCTGTACTTGCACAACCCGGAAGTTGTTATAACTGAATAATAACACCCTAAAATCCGAGGTAACATCTGTATCATAAAGTAAACAAATAGGAGACTGCTTGAATAGTATGGTGGAAACTCGAGATGGACATTTGTCTTTAATTTTAGATTTCACAATCAAGCAACTGTACAAATAATCCTGGAAGCATTTTGTAACATAGTTTAGATAAGTGCTTTACAAATATAGTTATTATTATTACTAATATTATTAAACCTATAAATAAGTTTGACTGGTATTTCTAAGAACATAGCTTAATAGATCCTACCCTCGTTTTTAGTGAAGTGAGACTGAAATGTTTGTGGTTCACTTTTCTCTGAGAGTTGTTACAGTTAGGTCCCCTCCCTCCAGCCAGCCACGGCTGCATCTTGATTGCATTGAAACCATGTTTCATAAATCCCCATCAACCCTTCCTTCACAGACACTCCTGGAGAGCTCCTCATGTGAGGAGAAATCTGTCAGATTGTAAACCACATAAATCATTTTTTTTGCATTTTTTTTTTTTTACTTCAAGAGTGTGGAAAAGAACTTTGTGTAAAAAGAGACAAAGTCTTCGAATGAAGAGTGTTCTCTGAGAGCAAGAGATGAGCAAGTGTACTTTAAACAGACCCACATTCCTCTACATGTGCTTAAGTTTTATAGTTTACGGTGCACTGACAAAGTGCTACAGCACAGTACATGCATGCCTGATTACTGCAGTCAAATCAAGGCTTGATATAGCCCTAGTAGGTGCAATCTTTTCATTTTGTATCTTTGTATTACAAGGTTACAATGTTAAACGTCAGGTCAAACTACAGAATAACATTCATTGTTAGATGCCAAGATGCCTTCGTCAAGCAATGGCAGATGTTCGTTTTGAGTTGTGATTTAAGGAAAAGAGATTCTGTAAACCTTACAGTGACAGTGGTCACATCTGTTCAGAGCAGATAGGAATGAAAGTTACACTAATTACGCCACCAATGTCGTGCTGTCACAGCTTGTATTGCACCTAGCTTTTTATACTTTTACGCAACCACAATGGTCACTGAGAGTTGCCTTACCTCTGTGACTAAGCAGGGCTTAGGTTTTCACAACTAACTTATTCCTACGTGAATATTGGAGATGTTAAATGTACCTGTTATTGTGTGACTCAATCCAGGGTTAACAAGATGTTGTATACAATATTATAAGAAAGAGCTGAGGTCAGGACGACAACCTGCAGGCTAACAATGTATGTTTGTCTTAAAGGTTTAAATTACTCATCTCTTCAAAGGTTTGAATGCAGAGTGGACGCTGATGGCTGTTTGACTTTGGCTCACTCCAGTTTGTTCCAGTAGATTGCTGATTTAGTTGCAAACAAATCTTCTGAAATGTGTTATTGACTGAAGTAATCTTTGTGTGATTTATTTCAAATTTAAATTATGGAAATGTATGAATTATTGCACTCAACTATCCAGCATTCATTTTCTGTGATCAAGGATTACGTTGGCTCGCAGGGTCCGTACAACTTCAGTTAAATTATGCTGCCAGCAGGAGCGCTTTTGTGGTTCGGCTGCCGTTTTCGCATCATCTTTTCACCAAAATAATCCTTTTCATCCTGAAACCATTGTGTTGGAGAAAGCAAGAAGGGAAAGTCCAGTGAGAGGACTGGCTCAGTTGTCCGGGCCCATTAAAGAGACAGTTAGCTGCCGTGGCTATTTCTACTTTGTATGAACTCGTCATTTAAGACACAATATGCATAATTAGAGGCTTTTTGTGACTCATTTGCCTCGTACTTTCTGCACAGTTACGGCTTGCAGTTTTTCATATGCGGCAATGCAGAAGAAATGACAATGAAAAGGTTGAGCAAAGAAATTACAGAGGGAGCAAGAGAACAGGATAAGGGCGCCGTGTCAAAGCTGTAGGCTCCGGATGATGATTTAAGCATTCCGGTAATCGTGTCCATCGATCGAGTAACTGAACAGGAAGACTTTGGTTTTTTTTGACTTTGAAGGTTTCGCGCAGCTCTCCATTCCTGACAGACAGCGCTGTTTATTTAATTTGAGTGTCCTTCTGTCATTACCACTGGGTCATCGTCCCTGCACAACAGATGTTACAGTAACTAATGAGTAGCTGGGCTCACTTTATGAGGTTAAAGTTGGAACCTTCAGCTCCCTCATCTCGTTCCGTCCAGACACACCCCTTCGTGAAGCACAAAGGGTCAACTTTAATCTGCTGCAAGGTTCTTTGCGCATGTTCACATGCGTATGCACTGGTGCGTGTGTGTGTGTGCCAAATCTCTGCTGTATGTCCCATTTTGAATCACCTTGACCAACCGGCTCTGTCAGCGTATATGGTGGGGGGAAGCAAAAGAAGAATACTAAAAAAAGTGCTGTCACGTCCTAACTTATAGCACAGTGTCCAAAGGTGCTCATTTTCATTTTTTCAAACATGTCCAACTTGGCTAGCTGCCAATTTAGCTGTCCTCTTCCCTCCATCTCCACACATGCTGCCCTATAGTTAAGCAGGGAAGATGTCCAACTCACCTCTCACTTCACGTGGAAGCAGTAATCACATGTTCTGGCCTGGACATCCGTAATCAAGTAAAAGTTTCTCAAGAAAACGAAACGTAGCCAATTCACCAAAAGGGCATAAACAACCTGATGGATCGTATGAATCCTCAGATCAACATTGCTTGTAACTGATCTGTGGAACATAGGCTGCTTCTGGCAGGAGACTTAACTTTAACTGCAGCAGTGAATCAGTTAGCCTCAGGGCACGGTGACATTACCAAACAAGCTTGCTCAGCACACTCATTGAGCAGTGTTGTATTGGCAAATAATGATTTGATTTCACAGTACAAAGTATCGAGCATGGATCCCACAGTGTTTGCTGTGCATGGGCGTGGATGAATTAGCTTGAGATGTGTCGGTCTGTAGCATCAGTTCTTTTCTTCACTCCCATCAAGGTGATCCCTTTCATGTGATTGCAGGGCCCTCGTTGTTCTTTGCTTTATATGTTCAAACATGATGGTTCTTGTGGAAATATGATGTATATTTCCCAAACTATCAACAAAGATCTAAATCATTTTGATGTGAGAAATAGTCCACACAGCTGCAGAATCTTGGTTATTTTCTCATCGACTGTAACATGAAGTTTTAAAACGTTACAAATCTTTGTGGGTCTTAAGAAGCTAATTGAGCTTAAATCTTGTTGTGAAAACTCATGATTTAGTTTGGCTGTTTGAGGCGAGGATCTTCAGACTCACTTAAAGAAATATAAGAACTGTAGTTTGTTTGATAAATGTACACGCTGACCTAAATCAGACGGCATCTGGGTGTTTTTGGTAATATTCCCCTATTTATCTTTAACAGCGTGTAATTACCTTGCTGGTGGTCAGGGAGTCCACATAACCTGCCAAAATCTCTGTGTGGTTCTACTGACTCAGAGAGACCCCCATTACAGAGACACACACACACACACACACACACACACACACACACACACACACACA